ACCCTCCCACTGCCAGCCCTGCTCCCTGCCCACTCCCCTCCCAGCCAGTCCCTTCCCCATCCCTCCTGATCAAGTGTGTCCGGTATTTTTTCTGAAGCTAGCTGGTAGCCCTAGTCTGCACATGGTGCTATCATACCTCCACTGCAGCCAGGACACCTCTGAACGAGCAGAGCTGGGGGGTGGGTCAGTGTGAAGCCAGGCAGAGCATGGTCACCTCACAACCTCTGCTGCCATCATGTGGCCACCTCATCCCATTCACCTGCTGCTGCTCCTGTGACCGTCCTTGGCCTTGTCTGTATCCCGGGGATGAACCCCTGGGGCAAAATGGGTGTGTGTGAGACACACTAAGCCTTTTTCCTTACCTACACTAGCCTTTCACTCAGGGACTTTCTGTCCCCTTCAGGACATGGGTCCATTCTCCATTGCCCAGAGGGGACAAGAACAGAAACCAAACAGAACATCAGACCAGCCAGACTGGGCCATGCCAGTTGCCCAACTAGCCCAGGATCCTGTCTCACAACAGCAGCCAATTTCATTGCCCAGTAGGAATCCTCAGGACAGACACTGCGGCCAGGGGCTGATTTGTAGATGACTCACCCGCAGGTGCTCCTGTGGCCTGCCCATGGCGCTCAGCTCCTCACACCATGCGGATTGAAGGGTCGTACAGTGAACACCATGGTTTGAGTGCGTCGGGCAAGGAGCCCAGCCAGTGCCATGGAGACGGCTGCCCTCGGGGACCGTCCCTGGTGGGATTCTGAACCACTCATCATTGTCCAGGCAGAGCCAGTTACCCCCTAGGTCACCTGAGCTCATGGCTCAGTGACCAGTGTCCCTCAGCGCTGAGTAACCGCAGCCCCAGTCAGATGAGGCCCTGCAGTTGCTGCCAGTGATCAGTCAGTGTCCAAGCCCCATAGGCAGACAGGCCCGGGGTGCTGGAGAGCTGCCTGGGGGTCGCGTTAGCCAGGTTACAGCACTCAAGCAGCTGCCTCTTCAGACACAGAGCACGTCCCCTGCCCAGTCACACAGTGGAGTGGAACAGGCAGGGCAGAGGCTGGTTGTGGGGGAAGGCCTGGGTTCCCCTACTGTGGTTTCAGGGAGGAGCTCTGAGGGCAGAGGGATGGGGCGGTGGGAGGCTATTGAAGCCCCTGGGAATGTTGGCATCTCAGGGAGAGGAAGAGGGACCTTCCTGAACGTCACTGCTGCCCAGGTCACACTGGGGGAGGGCGGCAGGCTCACCCCAGGGCCACCCAGCACTCAGTGCTGAGCTGCAGGGGAGCTAGCAAGGCCCCGGGCAGAGCAGCCAGCCCCTCCACCAGCCCAGGAGCAGCACTGGCTCAGCATTGTCCCTGCTGGGCCTTTCAGAGGAGAGGTGGGGATACCGCTGGCACCAGCCACCCTCTGCTCTGTGATGCTAGAGGGATCCCTAAAGGCTGTGATCCCAGGGGCACTGCTGGACACAAGGGCACTCGGCCAGGGGGCCCAACACTCATGTGGGCCCCAAAGAGCTATTGGCACCTGCCCTCAGTTCTGAACGTGGCAGTCCTGGAAGCAAATTGTCAAAGAATGAATGTCGCCCACATCCTGCTGGGACGGGTCCCTTGGGCGTGTGAGTGCCCAGCACTGGGCACCCAAATCCTGTGCAGACACCTTGTAAATCTCTCCTGTTCCCGCCCCATTTCTTCCCACTCCCCTGTGTGCATCCTATGGCACCTGCAATAACAGACTGCAGCTTTACCTAGCACCCTGGACAACCCCTCTGGCCAAAGCCCTAAACGGTATGGTACGTTTCCCAAAGAAGGAAATATACCTACAAACCAGACACTGATCTAACATTCCCTGTGTCATGGACTGAGACCCCATCTGTATCTGTAACTCAGCATCTGACCTGTTTTCCTTTCTCCAGAGGAAAGTGCAGGCGAAGCGAGTGACAATTGCCGGTGAATTTAACAAGCTGCATGTGCTGCTGAGGGAGGAAGAGCAGCTGCTTCTGCAGAGGCTGGTGGAGGAGGAGCAGGAGACTCTGCAGAGGCTACAGGAAAATGTCTCCAAACTCTCCCAGCAAAGCGTCTCCCTGCAGCAGCTGATTGCAGAGATGGAAGGGAAGTGTCAGCAGCCAGTTGCGGAGCTGCTGAAGGTGAGACGGTGTCAAAACTCTGCCCCCAGCCAGAATTACAGCTCAGATCCATGGGTTTGGAGCCCAGGAGTGAGAGTAAATGTGCTATGTGCGGTGCTCACAGGCAATATCCGGCCAAGGGCTCCATCAGCTCCAAACATTACAGCTCGTGTGGGAGGGGAATTCTGATCGTGGAGATCCAGGGAGGCGATGGGAAATTAAATGGGTGATGCAAAATGATACGGGGCTAAACCCATCCGTGCTGTGAGTCTAGAGCATTGGGCTCAACACAGTCGCTAAACACAGATACGGATGGGCTGGGTCCCTAGGAAGGAAAGCTACTGAGCTAAATTCCGGTGTCACTTATACAAGTGAAACAAGTGCTAATGCAAAACGGTGGAGGAGATTTTTACCATCAAAACAATGAAGCCCCAAAGTGTTAATCTATTTTCTACATGAAAAGTTGGTGCCCGGAATGGAAAATGCTCCATTTCATGCCCCCAGTGCTAATACAGAGCATCGATTCTCTTTCTCCTTTCAGGACGTGAAAAGCACGTTGAGCAGGTGCGTGTCCCATTTTCATTGCCCTCATATTCCTGGTGGGGGCCTGGTGGCAATGCTGGTGCAGAGCAGCTGATGATGCTGAGACGTTTGCTTCCTAGGAGTGAAAACATGAAACTCCAGGGACCCGAAGCCGTTTGCACCGACCTGCAGCGCGGGTATAAAATTTATCTTGATATGAGGGAAGCTCTGAACAGGTTTGCAGGTGAGTGGAGCCCCTGGGACATCGAGCTGTTTGGTGCGGGAGGCTCCAGGCAGAGCCTGGGGCCCCAGGACACACGTGGACCCGGCTGAGAGCTGTGCGGTAGCTGGAGGCTGATGCGCTCAGAGCTGGGGAGTTTACCTGCTGCTCACACTCACCTGCTGGCACTCACAGGGATCTGACTTAGCCCCATCATCCCGACACTCTGACCTTTCCTGCCTGGGTCAATGGGGCCACTGAGCAGGTGCTGTGAGGCCTGGCCTGAGCCAATGTGCTGGGGGCTGCGCAGACGGGTTACAGAGGACGTGTCTGTGCCTCTCTCTTAGCACATGGCGAGGGCCGGCCGAGCTCCCTGGTCTGGGGAGGGGCCGGTCTGGCTGCTGTGCCCTGCATGGGCCGTGTGTTACTGGGGAGCCAACTGAGCCCTACGGGCCTCTCATCTGCCCAGTGTGAGGCTGGTCAGTGATTTGCTGCTTGGTGGGTGAGAATCCCTCTGCAGTGTGATCCTGTCGCTGTCTGAGCCTGAGCTGCCCCCATCCAGCCCCTCCCCTCCCTCCCTGAGCCCAAAGGCAGACAGGTGGCAGCGAGGGGGGAAGAGAGGAAACTCCAGCAGAGGGAGGGGGGCTGGGAGGGGTCGGAGAGCTCTGGCTGGGAGTGGTGCTCAGGCCCCTTCATCCTTCCCCTGCCGCTCCACCCTCCCCACTGCCCTCCAGCAGGAGAGTTGAAGGGGCCCCGCCGGGTTTGTGTGACCCGGCCGATGGTGGTGGAAGCAGGGCCAGGAGCTCTGGGGATCAGGAGGCCCAGGCTGTGGGGGAAGCAGCTTGGAGCGATTCTGGTCTTCAGCTGCTGCTGCTCCTCTGGGGTCAGGCTCCTTGGCCAGGGGTCTGGGCTGTTCGAGCTGCCGCTTGCTCCGTGTGGGGCGGTGCCGGGCGCTTGGTCTGTGCAGCAGCTGTGGGTGACTCCTGTGTGTGGCTGGTCTCACCAGGCCTTGGCTCACACAGGGGCTGGAGCTCTGTCATCAGTGGCTGCTGGGCCTCTGGGGCACTGGAGCAACATTTCCTCTGCTGACCCCTGGGACTTTGCCAGTGTCTTGGCCTGACTGCTCTCCAGAGACACACACTGGGGGCTTCTGTCCTGCTCTGCCAGTGGCCCCTGTGGACGGTCAGTAAGAACCCTGCACCTGGGCCTACAAATGGCAGAGCTGTTCACTAGCCCAGTCCAAGCGCTTCTCACCCTGCTCCTGGGACCCCCAGAAATGCTGAATCCCATTGACCGTCTGCCCCAGCGCCCTGGCCCAGAGCCGGCTGTGCCCTAGCGCCACTGGCTGCATCATTCCCAGGGGCGTCCTTTCAGCTGTCCTGCAGGGAGCCGCTCCAGCGCCCCAGCTGCCAAGCTGTGAGTCTGGGGGTGCGGCTCAGGTATCACAGATAAGCCATGGGGCGTCTGAAACCCCTGGCTGGCCTCTCCCTCTGACCCTCCTCCGTGCAGTGTGCTGGGTTCCTGACTAGACACCAGCAGTCGGCCCCCTCGGCGAGCCTCAGAGCCGGCATGAGGGACGCTGGCTGGTGCGGTTTGTGCTGCAGCATTAAACACGGCTGGGTAGATGTTGGGGCTGGGGCTGGCATCTGGGTTTGAACTTTCCCTGCAGTCCCTGGGAGGAGCTGCCCAGCTGTGTAGCCAAACCTGCCGCGCCTGCAGAGCCTGGTGTGAGCACCCCCAGCCTGTCTGCCCCAGGTCTGCACGGGGGGTGGTTGGGACAGTTGCTAGCTGGGGACACCTGTGCCCCTGGGGCTCTGGGAGGGGCTCTGTGGCCAGCTCCCGCGCTGAGAGACGCCGGGGCAGAGGGTCTGTGCCGCTCGCAGGGCCCAGGGGACACGTCGCTCTGGGCAGAGAGTTCAGGCTGGAGCCGAGTCTCCACTGGCAGCCGGGTCTGTGGGCTGAGATCAGGGCTGGGGGGATTTTCCTGGCCAGGGCACGTTTCACAGTTGCTCTGGAGTGTCCCAGCTGGTGCCCTGTGCCTGGTTTGCCCGTCACCATGTGGGGCTGGGGCTGGGGCCAGTCTCTTGCTGCCAGTCACTGGGCCTGGGCGCCTCAGCTGCTCAGGCAGGTTTGCAGAGGGGCTGGGCAATCGGGTGCTAATAGCTTATCAGCAGAACAATTCAATTTGGGGTCAAATGAAACTGCTCCCGGCCCCAGGCTGAGTTTGCTGGCGAGTGTCCATGGACAGAGCCAGGTGCCGCCGCTTCCCTTCCAGCCTGTAGCCCAGGGGCGGGGACCCAGCTGGGAGCCCCAGGTCCCATCCCTGTGTGGGGCGGGGCAGGGATGGGAATGTGGGTCCCCCCTCAGGTGGGGGCTGGAACCGCTGGGCTCCGGGGGTCTGACGTGGGGTCCCTCAGTCTCTGCTGCTGCAGATGCTCCCCTGGGTCTAAACACGGCCCTGGGCCCTGGGCAGAGCGTGGGGGTGAGACTGGCTCTGCAGCACAGTGGGGCGGCCCCGCCTGGGAACCCAGAGTCCAGCCCCAGTGACCTGCAGTTACTGACCCATAACTCAGTGAGGGGAGGGGCACGGGCCCGGCACAGCAGTGTCTGAGGGAGCCGGGTTCCCTTGCACTGATGCAGCTGCCCCCGTGCAAACCCCCAGTGCAGCCATGTGGGTGTGAACTGGGACTGGTCCCTGTGCAGCTTCTCCCAGGAGGAGGGGGCAGGAAGTGGGGAGATGGCCCCTGTCCGGTACGGCCCTCATTAGCAACAGCCCATTGGTTTGCAATTGCACCTCCCTCCCATCCTCCACTGCCCTGCCCCTACTAGGAGCTCTGGGAGAGGGGCTGGGCCAGAGAAGTGGAGACCTGTCACTCCCCTCCCTCCTTCTGTCTGTCCTTATGCTCCTCTCTTCCTTTGCCCCCTTCAACCTCCAATAGCTGCTTCATACCTGGCCCCTTGTTGGCCCTGGTGCCTGTCGCACTCCAGGCTGCACCCCTGTGCCCCGGCACCTGCTGTTAGTGCCCTGTAGCCCCTGGCATCCACCCTTCCCTTGTCCTCCCACCCCTTGTGCCCTCTAGCCCCTGGCATCTGCCCCATCTAGGCCTCAGAATGAGCCCTCCCCTCACCCCCCTGTGCCTGCCCCTTTCCTCACATCCCCACCCCCTTTCACCTTCCCTTTAATTCTTCCCCTCCCCTCTGCCTCTCGACACCTGCACCTTCCCCCTCCCCAAACCACTGGTGCCAGCCCCTTTGTGCTCCCCCCCCGGGCCCTCCTCTCTCCGCTGCTTGTCCCGCCCAAGTCCCCACCCTTGGCTCCCTTTGGGACCCCTAATGTTTGCCCCTTCCCCTGCCTCCTCCTCTAGCCCATTGGTGCCCTCCCTTCCCCTCCCCTCCTCCTAACTTCTGGGTCCTGTCCCTCCACTCACTTTTCCTCTGCCCCCCTGTGCTGCCCTGTTCCCTGGTCCCCACTCTGCCCCCTGGTGCCTGCCCCTCTGCTCTCTGCCCTGCTTATCTCTGCCCCTCTGCTCAGCCCCCTCCCCTCTCCAGGACTGCTCCTTCCCTGGCCCATCTCTGTTCTCCTGGCACCCACCCCTCATGCCCCTCCCTGCTTGATAACCACCCTCCCCTTGCTGCCCTTTTGCCCCCTGGGGTCTGCCCCCCATCCCCCTCTCACCTCTCTCTTTCCCCTTGTCACCAGCCCAGCTCTGCTGCTGCCCGTCACTCAGACACTAAAAGGGTCCCGGCATTTCCTGACCCCACATGGCACCTCAGTGGTTTGTGCCCAGCCCCAGGCAGAACAGATCCCCGGGCAACCCAGCTCTGTGGGCCGGGCCCAGGCAGGGCAGGCGTGTCCCTGGCAATACAGGCTGGGCCTGGCATCATCCCAATCCGGCTCCTCATGAGCTGTCCGGGGGGGAGGGGCTTCTTACACACTAGTGGGTCGGCCAGGGTAGCTGGAGTAGCCCCATTGACACCGGCACAGACAGCATCCAGGCCCTGCTGTCACACCCGCCCTGCACTCAGATTCAGGTGCCGCCCAGGCAGATCGGCAGAGCGTTCACATGGCCACAGCCCG